TTCTAATTATTATTTATTTTTTAATTTAATTTTTTAAAATTAATTTTCCTATCTTAAACATAAAATAATTTAACCATTTGGCATTTGAAAGTAAAGGCGGAATTTAAAGGAAAAAGTAAATATAATTTTTTTTCGCGCTTAATTTTACATAAATTTCATTAAATAAGTTTATATTCAATCTTATATCCTTTTTAAATTAAATTAATTAAAATCTTCTATACAAAAATTCCTATTTAAATATACAAATTATAAAATATCAAAGAAGAATGCTTAAAAGAAAGGTTGATTTAATTATAATATACTGTCAATTTAATTAGAATTAACTTAAATAATAATAATAATTATTATTATTATTATTAATGATAATTAAAATCAATTTAAATATAAATTTTAATTAATTTTAAGCTGAAAATGTTTATTTTTATGCACAATTTTCTTAAGATAATTTAATTATTGTCAGTAATTTTACAGTTAAAAATATAATATAATATAATTAAACCTTTAAAAATCGAGATAAAGTTAATTTTTATGCGGTTTAATTGATTTATAACGGTATTTTAATACGTTTAATCAATTAATAACATCAACAGGTGATTAATTTTAATAAAATAAATAAATAAATATTTTTATACTTTTATAATAAAGAATTTGAGCAATTGGAAAAGAAAATTTGTTGGCATTTTTATATAAAAATTGAAGTTCTAACGAGTAATTTTAGAATTTTAGAAAGCGAGAAGATGTGGATCGGAGTCGACATTAGCAGCTTTTCGTTCTTAATTCAGGAAGTACTCAAGTAGATATAAAAATGTCTTCAGTGACAGGATGTGCAGCTAAAATCCTGTAAGATTCAAACCAAACAGTGTGACAGGAAACTATGATGTATGAGTAAAAGAACGTAGAGTGTTTCAAGTTTGCGCCAGAGATCAAGAGAGGTGAACCATCAGAATTTCTTTGGTTCCAAACAGGATGTGCTGAATGCCATCGTTTTGATTGATCGCTCCATTACTATAAGAGTTAGTGAGCATGCAGTGTGATACTTGAATTACAAATACTTTTCTTTAACTTAGAAAAACTGGTAAGCAAACATTGACTCTGGTAAAAGTGGTTTCTTAAGTGACTTCATTAAGTGATGCTTCTTATAAGAGAGTTTCGATGAATGGTGAGTAATTGCGAGAACTTCAAGATTAATACTGTTTACATTCGGTTATGTTAGAAGAAGAGGTGTCATCAACTTGTCAGACGAATTGCGGTAGTTCGGATAAAAGTAGTAGTGCTGTCACCTTCTCTGAAGGATACCTTTTTTTTTTTTTTTTTCTTTTCTTTTTTTCCTTCTTCTTCTCTTCCTCACCGAAACGTCATCGCTTTATACATTATTTAGAGACGAGAGTGTCAAATTCGTAATTTTATGTGTGACTTTCCTTAAATTCACTTATTAAATTTTATATATTTTTCTTGAAAATAGTTAGTTTGATCATTTATATAGATTAATATATCTTCGGTTTTTTTACATCTATATCAAACATTTCTATAAAGATGTTCGTATTTTACAACACATTTTTGATTATAAAGGAAAATAATATTTTTATTTCTATATTATTTCTAAATGTTGCTTCGAATTTAAGATGAATCCCAATTTAAAAAAAAATTTAGGCGATAATTTTAAATTAAACAACAAATTTAAAGAGCATTTTCAATTTAGAAAGAAGATTTTTAGAAGAAAATTAAGCTAGAAACCTCTAATTTAAGTCTTTTAACTCCGTTTTAAGTTCGTAAACATGCGAAGAAAATGTGTTTTAAATTCGAAATAGATACTACATTTACTTAGAATTTATTACTGTTTAATACCAGATTTATAAAATAACATTATAAAAGGTACGAAACAAAGAAAAAAATTTTTAAATTATCATTAATTCAACATTTTTTCCCCCATCTCTCTTTATCATTTGTTTGAAACGAACTTCAAGAGACTTAAAACTTCTTCATTACTGAAGAGTTTCCTACAGAACTACAGACGAAAAAAAAACTGATAATATTTAACCATCAATTGAAATATTTATAAGTTTCTTAATTGGGAAAGAAGCTTTTAAGAATATGAAAAGCCATTACTTAAAAGATACCGCAATAATAAACCTAAGTTGGGAGGAGCTTTAGTATCCATCTTTCATCGTGTTCCACAAGTTTAATCAAAATCACTAATCACTTTTAATAGTTGAATGACCCCGCATAAAATATATAAGGTTTTCAATATAGGACTATATATTTTCTTTACGCCATTCCTTAATTTCTTCTATTGGTGGCAAAGAGTTTAAGGGCGATATAACATGTGTTTCGTTATTGGGAGTGGGGAAGGTGCAATATTTCTTAACCATCGAGTTATTATTGTATGTGACATTTTCAAAACTGGAAAGAATCGTCATTTAGAAGATTAATGTCTTTCTTCTAAAACTTTCTATCATTTCTTTCGCTTCGACGAATTTTAATATCTACCAGGAATTAAAATATTCACGAAATATGTTCAAGTCATCAATTTTGTGACTTTAAAAAAGCCGAAGGATTTAATTAAATATAAAAAGAACTTCTTTTTTTCTTTCTCTATTTTGTTGATATGTCAGTAAAAGGAATTTTTTAAAGTATTTTTTTTTTACTTTTATGATATTCTGAACGAATTGATTTTCGTTATAACGAATTTTCTTCTTGTTAATTAATTATAATTAATTTAAACCTTTTAATAACTTTAAATGTGTATAAAAACCCATTTTTTAAGGGGAGAAGCTTTAAATTTTATATTGTTTCTAATGAATTTGTTGTATTATTTATAACTCTTCTCCTTATTAACGTACACATTTTCGATTTATTTATTTAAAAATGCGTATATAATTAATTAAAATAATATAAAATATAACAAAATATTTTATTTTTATAATTATAAATGTATTTTAAATGAAAATAAAGCGAAAATTAATTAATATTTCGATATTTTATAGCGAATATTTGTGTATTTTAAGCAGTGAAAAACGTTAAGAAATTTACAGAAATTATAAAATATGATTATATATTAAATAGGAAAATATTATATTCAATCGAAATGATTCCATTACAGATTTATTAAATCTCAAGAGCAACGTAAAATATATTGAATTGAAGCTTATGAGAAGAAAACTAAATGGAAAGTGAAATGTGATTGGAAGATTTACAGCTTTCTTGTCACTTTAACTTTACGATCTCCATTAAGTACTTCAGTTTGTTTAAACTTATCCAAAAATCGAAGTTTGTACAAATTTTCAAGAATAATTTTATTCAATTAAACTTCAGGAAAGCCAAGAAGAAGAAGAAAGAAAAAATATATAATTAAGTTTCGTGTTTGAACATTCATCACTCGTTCCCCCCTTTTTTAAATGCTGTTTCCTTTTATGGGGATTAACGGTGCTTTTAATTAATTTAAAATTTGAACATTTATAAAGTAACCATTACATAAGTAAGTTAATATTTACTTTATATACATAATTACAGTAAGCTAACTTATATATCATATTCTCAATGTTTAAAATACAAAATTAATTTTGTTATTTAGGAGGAAAAAATGTGGTAATTAAGATTAAATTTTGATAGTTTTTATATAGAAAAATTATAGTTTTTAAAGATTGTAACACGTCGAAGAAGATTGGAATGCCGTAAACTTGAAATAGAAATTTTAACTTAATTCGAAATTTTAGAAGATTCTTCAATTTTCTTCTCAGATTTTAAAGGTTGTGTGAGAATAAAATGAAGAAATTTGAAGAGTAAAGGTTTGTCACTTCAGAGAATTACCTAAAAACAAACAGAGTTTATGTCCCGGAAAGAGAAGCGATCGTTTAAAAAAGATTTCTCTATCCTAGATGTAGTAGAATTAAGTCCACAATCCATGATTCATGAATGGAGAGGCATCTAGGTCCTTCATCATTAGAAGGGTGTGGTGATGCCACGTGACGCGATTAGCGAAGACACCTCGGCGTTAAGTGTAGCTAGTAGTGATATATGGTGGCAACATCGTTCGCTTCTCCTTGTGGTCCATATGATCAAAAATTTAGCGAAATGACACCTGGGCATTACGCCTCATCTTTTCTCTTCGTATCCAAGTTAACGTTGCACTTCATCACAGATGTTCAATGTCGGAGTATGGCTAATGTTTTGGATTATAGAAAGTTATTATTAGTATGTTAATAAGTTAAAGTAATAAATATTACATGCAAATGATGAATTCGATTTTTTGAAAAAATTTAAAACCTACTTCAAGAGGAAATTTATCTCATATTTTTTTGTAATATGAACGTTTCTTGTACGTTACAACATGAAAGTTCCATTACAAAAGAATAACTTCTTAATCTATTTATTTGCTATAGAAGAGCAAACTTAAAGTATTTTTATTTAAATTTTTAATATTAAACTTTCTCATAATACAATCTTTTTTATTATTTATTATAAACCCCATTTTTATATGAATAAAATTCGCATAGAACGATCCAATCTCTTCTAACATTTTTATTTATCAAAATATTTATTTTAAACATTTATTTTTAAAAATTTACTTTATAAATACATAAAATTAATTATTTACTTTTAAAAATCTCACAATATAAAAGTAAAGATTTAAGATATTAAATATTTAAATTAATTTTTGTTTGTTTATATTGATCGATGTAAGATGAAAATCGAATTTTTTTTTATTATTTTATATAGGAAAAAAATTTTATAATTCCCAAAAGAAATTGCAGAAACGAAAATAAAAAAAAATAATATATATTAGTAAAATAAAATAAAATATCCTCGAGCTATTTGGATGCAATTCAAATCTTCAAGTATTTCTATACACAAATCAATACATAGATCCTTTAATTATACCCAGAGGTGGAAGGACAATGTCACGCATCTTTAAGGAAAAAAAATAAAGTTTGTAATATAAAAATTTAGATTTTTTTTATAAATATTTTAATGTAAAAATGTTAAACTTTACATAACTTTCCTTAAACTTTTATATAAGAAGTTACAAAAATGAAAAAATTCCATGTAACAAGAAGATTAAAATTCCATATCAAATATTTGTTAACGTAAAAAAAAAACACACACACACACACAGAGACACACGCAATTGATTCAGTCTGATTAAATTAAATTATTTAAATTCAATTCGATTAAATTAATTAAATATATCGACAATATTTTAGACAATAAAATAAATAATTTTAATTTAAAATTGAATAAATTGGTGAAGATTAAATTGAGAGTTTCTTAGACAAGAAAGTTTGATATACTTTAATTATAATTTTACAATTATTATATAAAATAAGTTTATTGATTATAAAAAAAATACATTATTATTATTATTATTATTATTATAGAAAAGTTTTGGTTATTTTTTAAATTGAACTTCAAAATGATGTAAATTATCATTATCCTTTGGGATTAAAAAAATTATGATACATCGAGAGCAGCATCTCATTCTTAATTTTCAATAAGTGCCTGCATCCGTTAACGGATTTCCTTCTTTCCGTGATTAATTTTTTAAATGAGAAAATGTTATATTTAGAATAAATTAGTCTATATTAATAAAAAGATAAATTTATACTTCTTTACATCAATTTAATTAACTTAGTCGCAGCATCAGCACCGCATCATTACTCATCCATCAAGAAAAAAAAAAAAGATGCTGTTCACCTTGTTTCGTTAATCAAATGTATCGTCATTTGTTTAAAATTACAGGTTTTTATTAATTACTATACGAGTTTTACAGTTTCATGCACGTATTTTTTTTCTTTTATTTTTAGTAATATCTTATTCAGATATATCATTTTTATATGAAACGAAGCGCTGATGATTGACTGATGAATTTCTCTTTTCTTCTGAGTTAATTTATAGATTTTTCATAAAGAATTTTAATAATTTTTCTTTAATTTAACGTAATTCAGAAACTCATTAATACAAATTATCATGAAGTTTAATTATACGAATAAATGCCGATATCGTAAAAGCAAAGCGTGAATCTAATGATATCTTATTTTGCTTTCGCGCGTTGTAACGCGACCGTGTCGCATCGCTATCGCGTACGATAAAATGTAAATCATGCCGTCATTTATTAATATTCCTTATTATAATTCGATTTAATGAAGTATGATAGTATAAATGAAGCGTAAGTAGCGTGTTATCAGATTAATTCAATGATCTATCCTCATCTTCAGCATTAATGGTGCTTCTCTTCGTAACGCGCGAGGAGTGAATTTTAAACATTATGTTATCTACTTTTTATATAATAATTTAATGAAGTATGATGTAATAAAATAAATGATAACACATTTTATTGTTAAATTATCAAGTAAATTTATCAAATTATATTCAACTTAACTCGACAATAATTGTTCTCCAAGAAGAAAATCGCTTTTAAACGTCGAGTTTGCGACTCTTGTTAACGTTTCCAAGAGCAATAGAACGAGTTAAACAATGCAAAAAGTGATTTTTTCCAATAAATTTTTTATTCTTTAAAATATGTATTCATTAATTACTGGGTATATTTTTGACTTTAAGCACATTTCGTGAATGGAATAAGTTCAAACTCATTCGTGTTGCAAGTAAAGTTTGTTGTGGAAATAAGCTGCCGAATACACTCACCGGGAGCGAAACGTGACCAGAAGAATCATTAAAGCAAAGAAAAAAAGTGTAATTTTTATAAGTATCATATCAAACCATTCCTTAAAGCAGTAACTACCACACCATCTGGAACAAAAATGATCTGTAGAGTGAAAATTATTCGATTAAATGTCATTCACGGTTCCAGCAGATGCTTTACCCGTTGTTTTTGAAGATGTGGATCATACAGTTGCAATTGTTTAGCACAGCTGTTCTGGAATCGAAAAACTACACATCGCTCTACAACTAAACTGGAAAAAAATTAATAAAAATAGATAAAAAGAAAAAGAAGAAAACTTCAAAATAACAAATAAATCAACTTAATTAAGATAACAGGTTTTAATTTTAAGAAGTGAGAATTGTTAGAAAGAGAGTAGTTTTCATATTCAAGAAAATTCTCGCCCGAGAGAAGAATTAACCTCGTTAAGTCATTCTTCAACAACAAGTTAAGAAGACGAGTAACAAACAGTTCGCTTTGCTCTCGTCCCATTAAACAATTAACATTTACATTAGTTCGTAATTAAAGTACAGAAACAAGATGATTAATACCAGCTTCCCTCGACCAGCTTTAGCTTCTCTTTACTGCTTTGATCTGCTTTAACAACTCTTAGGTAATCTGGCTTTAACTTTCATCCTGTTGTGAAACTCAACTTTTGTTTTTACACTTCTTAATCTCACATTTTATACTTTGCTAAACTCTCTCTTTTAAATTGATTTAGTAGACTTTCGTCGTCTCTTAGGAAAAATACTAATGATTATTTATTCCAATATAATTAATCTTTGTCTACTTTTATATTTATCAAATTTATTTTAAATATTTTTATTCTATGTAATGAGGTTGAAGTTATTATCCGTAGTTAATGAGTTGCTTATTTAGTCGTAACGAAATTTTTATTATTAATTTTGTGAATGATATTAATTTGTCCAATTAAAGATGCAAAACATTTTCTTCCTGATAACAGTTAAGTAGCTGAATATTAATATATAAATAATATATTCAAAGCATGGTCGATGGTGTAAGACAACACAAAATATTCATCCAAAAAATTGAGGATTTACAAGCCAAAAAAATTTGTTTAAATAAGATTATATTTTCCTGTTTTTAAGCCGCTTCCTTCTTAATAAACTTTCTTAACTTTATTAGATTTAAACCTTATTTTGAATTATAAAAAATGTAGAAAATTTAAAAATTTAGATATAAATATTTCAAATAATTGGTTTGTTTTCGTATGAGATCCGAACTGACGATTCTTTTTAATTAAAAACATATTCACAAAATAAGATTTTATTTAATTTTTATCTTTTTTAGTGATAAATTTCCTTAATTTTATTAGATTTAAACCTTATTCTAATCATAAAAACACTTAAAAAAACATATTTAAAAATTCGACTTTTCATAGTAAGATCTGCATTTAAAATGAATTTTCTCGATAAATTTAGAATGTAGTTAGAATTTTTAAAATTAATTATTCTTAAGGCATATTACAATTAATTAAAAAATAACAATAACTTTAAACAACAAAATTGTAATGCAATAAGATATGATATAATGGTTTGTTTAATGCACAGTCAAGTGGTAGTCACTCTTAGACGCTTCGTAAATATTTAAGTAAGAAAACTTTAAACAACATTAATAATTTGTAATGCTAAGTATATAGATATGGGTATAATAAGTAACTCTTGAACGGAGTTAATTCAATTTCACCTCTTCTAATCTTCTAAATAATATAAGAATTTTCTTTAGGAAGAGCATCGCATCAAATCTAATCACCTTAATTCTACGAAACACTCCGTAGAACATCATTTTTTTCGATTATTAAATTAACCTTTATAGTTTCTAAATTATCCTAAAAATAATTAAAGAATTATCAATGTTTTTTATAAGGAATATCATTTACAAAACGAAAATAAGGAGAATAATAATAATAATAAATTTGTTTAGTCGCTTTCCTAACATATATCACCACACAGCTGCTATGGGCATTATATCCTAACTACATCCGTTCATTTCTACTCATTCACCAAAGCGACCGAGTAATAATGAAAGTCCGAAGAATTTAATAGGTATGCGGTCTATAATACACCTCACTATTGTTTTCAGTGACATTCGTTGCTGACATGTGCACAACGCTATTCGATTAGTGGAAAACTACCATCCGACATCTGTCGTCTATTGGACCAACGATTAACGGATCTAGTTAATGGAAAATGATTTCTCACGCCAGCAATAGAGGGAGACATTGTGCCTCATTACCTCCTCTACATCCCTTCACTCGCTGCTAATGGAGTCTGTCATTCAGTGCTGAGACACTGCGTTCAATGGTGTCTATTTGTCAAGCTTCTTTATGATCTTGTGCCATCGATACTCTGCTAACCGAACACCTATTCGGGTTAAGACAATGAAGTGATGTCTTTCCACCCCCTCTCACCCTCTTCTTCTTTATTTTCTATGGAGTGGGTTTGGTTCGGATAATGACGCTGTTTTGCTACCTAAGATTTTATGAAGTCCACTAGTTTAGATAG